ACATGTTTCATCTTGCTTCAGGCCCATCAGGACCTCAGAGAAACAGTACTTGACTCTGCCACCAGCAAATTAAATGTCAACCTGCATGACATGGGGGGAAATGGTATTGTGTTAAAAATCAGAAGTTTGTAGGTTTAATTTGGCAGAAGTGAGTGTGAAATGACAGGTATGTTTAAAGAAGGGTAACAGTAAATCTCATAGAAATATAAGGTTAGTCTTCTGACATAGGCAATTTATGTCACGAAGAATAATAAAAAATGCTTTTATATTTCTTTTAAAATACAAATTTGTTTCTGCATTAGAGGTTCCTTATTCGGCAAGAACAGCTTTCTCTCCTTGGTTAAAGGACTCGAAGGAGTCCAAGCTCACAGATGAGGAGGAGGGATGTTGGGCACTGCCACCTTCACTGTGGGGCAGAGGCCTCGGGGAAGGAGCCCAGCTCCGTCGGTCAAGGGGGAACTGAGAGGAACACACTGCACAGCTCCCCGAAGCCCCACTGATTTCCACCCTAAAGATCCATGGTTTTGTTAATAAAACCTGTCGGTGTTGCAATACATTCGAAGGTCATCACTGTCTGTAGTGTCTCCTTCTACAAGGCAAAGCATTTGTTAAAATAAAATTGACCAATACAGTGACACTTACTTCACAGCAGTGGATGGTTAAAGGTGTTTCACCACGGCACTGCTTTACGTTCTCACCACTGTTTGTCTCTGGTTTTAGTGAAGTCACCTCAGAACAAAGCCGAGGAGCAGAGCAATGAAATAGAGCCACGAGATTTAGCACCGAGTCCTTAAGTGGCTAAATGGGGCCAGCAAGCTGTAATTGTTTTCTTGACTTCTGTAAGGATAAGTATTTCTGCACAAATATTCAACATCAGAAACTCCCTATTTTGCTGCCTTGGTAAGACTGAGATGATAACTAATTTAGAAGGCCAATTTTCAATAAAGAAACAGTGAATGATTTTAATCCCTTACAAATACCACAAATCCACTTGAGAAAGTATTCTTGAAAAAGTCCCTTTGATATTTAAACGCCTCCACTGGCACGGATTGCCTTTCAAACTGCTAAATGATCTTTGCAATTTGAAATCATGGCTGACGGACCGCTCGGCGCAGACAGTGGTAAGATATGCTGGAACAGTCAATTGGACAAAAGGATAGAGCGCAGAACACATCATATACCAGGGTGTCACAAAGGGATTTACATGATGAGAACATAAACCAAACTCTAATGATCAGCGTAGCTCAATGATTTATGGCTTATTAAACTGGCCTCTTTTATGACAGTGAAATATTCTGTTACCAAAGGAAGGCATAAAGTGACAAACCGTGCAAGATGTCTAAAAATCTAATACATAGAAGAAATAATCACAGTTCTTTTTTGTTATCCCATGAGATAAGTCATTATATGAGATAAGTCATATATACAAACAAAAAGACAGGGAAAATAGGTATTTTCACAACTCACACAGCAAAGCCAGATTTTTTCCCACTCAATGCAACCACAAGACATCTGCTCACAATAACTACAAAAGCCATTAATATACCTGTACTCAGGGTTATAAACTGAAATTTATTGTGCAAATCGTACAATAGTCTGCAACCGTTTTGAACAATGTAAAATGCTCTCCTGTGGGTAAAATACTGATAGAAATTGCTGTAGCAATACGATAGGGCTTCAGTTCATTATTTTACCCACAGGAAGGATCACAGAACCATGACTGAGAATTGTTAAGTATGATTTGACACAATATGTTCCAACTTAAAACCAACACAGTGGTTTCTACACTGTAACCTACCCTCTTCTCACAGCTGCTGGATTTTCTGGGTAACTTAAATGCAGTTGGTCCACGCTTCACAAATCAAATGTTCAAAAAGCAGAAATTAACTTCTCTTAACAGCAAACATAATGCAGAGGAGAAAATTAACTGTCCTTTGAGTGAATCAATTAACCAAAGCTGTGAGAGTTTGTTAAGTGGTTGTAAAGACCCTTTGATTCCTGCATTAAAAGCACAATGAAGTCATTAAATATTGCCAAGTTAGTATGAAGGATTTACGTGAGCAACGAAAAACGCAATGCACATTCAAATATTCAAATTATTTCCTAGTTACACCTACATCCAGTGACTTTGAAGTCTGTTAGGAGTGAAATTATACAGTATCCAACTCATAAGGGCCAACTCTTAGCTATACGTTTCCTCAAAAATGCACTGAAAGAGCAGCTTCACTGGGGAACAGTCACCGCATGCACCCCTAGCTTGTGTGAATTAGCTAGTTACAGCGCTCAAACTGAAACAAAAAACCCCGAACCATCACGTCAGGTCCACAGAACAGAGCAATGCTCTGAGCATCAACAGATTAGGGGCAACATTTGCACCTGAAACCCTGCTGTGCACATACACGTGTTACACAAACATACAACTCTCAGTTTACAGTCTGACAACTCCAACACTACGCAATCCAATCCAACGGTGAAAAAACTACCTGACCCTCACTGGGGGGCATTAGCTATAACCAGAAGAAATCAGCTCGATTTCTACTTGACAACTGCCACGAATACTGACTCACTTTTCTTTGAAATCCTAATAAATGGAGACTCCTTCCAAGGCAGAACGTGGAGGTAACTGATGCTTGTTAATTTTAATCGTAGTCAGCGTGGGAAGCAGCAGAGCTACAGACAGCCCTGACTACGGGTGGTCATACTGTCAGCCTGCAGCGAGGTACAACAGGAGAGAACAGCTCTGGGTGAGATCAGAACCACAGCAAGATTCAACAGGAGATTCAGACATCCAGCTCAGAACCAGCTTTCTGCAAAACTCAGAATGAATCATAAGCAGCAAGGAGGCTGTTCTGTGGTAACTTCCCTTTTTTCAATTCTGGTTTCCTAGTGTTAGTACTGAAACACAAGTACCGAGAGTGCATAAAAATAAATTTAAAATGTAAATTCACACATGGAAATTTAAGAATAAACTATGGCACAAGAGCAGTAATAATATTTCAGTGTACTAATATATGTAGGACTTCAAAGTATGTTATTTTTACTTTGTTAGCATTTTGATCTACTTCTGTAAGCAGGCTAGTAAATTTGTCTCTGTCTTCCTACTGAGCAGACTTGAGATCTAAAGTTTCCAGCACAAGTCATTTTTGTAGGCTTAATCATGGCATTGACATCAAGACGCTGTTATATACTATAAATTTTCTTGCAAACTATAGGCAGAACTGTGTAAGCTAAGAATAAGGTCAGGAAGTGCAGCTCCTGAAAGCACAACAGAAGTAAATCAGCATAAAACAACTAGCAAAAATTTAAAAAATATACAATAATAATAATAATAAAAAAAGCATAGCACAGGAGAGCTCTGAATGGGTAAAGAATAATAATGGATTTTTAAAAAATGTCTGTCGGTTCTGCCCTAGGAAGAGCTCTCCAAATGCCTCATGAGCAGCAGTTTGGGATTGGGGATTTAGGAGTCTAGAAATTCTTCAAAGCATTGAACTACGAACATAGATCTCTCACTTAGGTCTGGAATCACTCCCCCTCACAAGTGAATAAAGAGAACTTATTCCAGGGAAAAACTCAAATCCTAGGTGAGCAAAAATCAGCATTTTAAGATGTTTCTCTTTCTTCAGTCTTGCAGAAATAGAACAAAACTCTCAGACTGCGGCAACTCATCAAAGTTGTGCAGTATCTGGGGACTTACTCTAAGTGTAAAAGGATTTCATGAAAGTGAAATTTATTTATTCACAAAGTACCATGGCAAAGGATGTAACATGTTTAAAACTTAATTACAGTGTGAGGCCTACAAAAAGTGGTCAGTTATTAGTAAGCCCTGTCAGAGCCGTCACCTCTGAGGCTTGTTTCCTCCTGATCCCCTGGAAGCTTACAGCAAGAGGGCTAATAATATTGTGCCTAAACACAGAAGAAGGAAAAGATGTGAAGAAGTCTTTTTAAAAAGAAAACAGAAAGCAGGAATAAGCCTTTAGATTTCAGACTGGTGCTCAAGAACCATATGAGAGCATCAAGAGCAGCCTCCGAAGAGCCTTTTCTCTGTGACAAACCATACCATAATTACGTACGACTTACTCATCTCTGACGGGAAAAGTGATGCGTGTCGTGTTTGGGAACATCTCTAATCACTGCCAAGGAAGCTTCACATATGTCATACTGCAGCAGCCCTCCCCCTTAGTAAAGCTCACCATTTTGAAAACTGCGCATCTACTGGCTAGTTATAATCATGTTTTTTTCTTTATATAAAATAAGGGAATGTGTGCTAATGTAGAGAGATGTTCTACAGAATTTTGAACCATGTTCAAAGCGATACATTTTAGGAATATCAAAAAGTCTAACAGATAGGTTGCCAGAAATCATGCCTATGTCCGAAGTTTTGTATTATATCTGTTCAGCTGTAAGCAGAATTGGATCAAATAATACATAAACGTGCTGGTAATGGAAATGCAGAAAAGGTAAAATTCATGAGACTCTGTTGTGACAGAAAGCTTGTAGCTATTCCTTCTAGTAAACCAGTCTGATTTTGATAATCCAAAAAAATTAAAAAAGAATAAAATGAAGTATAACTTCATAGTTATACTTAAATACTCTATTTAAGATGTGTTCTAGAAATAGTCCAAATAAAAATGTCCAAGTAAAGCCAACGCTTTATTCTTTCAGAAATTTCATAATGCTTTTTGATGTTGCCTTGACTTCTGTTTCCTGACTAAAAAAGCAATACATAATTGTAATTTTAAAAACAATTTTAATTTCAATTGTTGAAAAACAGTTGTTACTAATTTCAAGGCTCCATGTAAGTATTTTGTACCAATTTTAAATATTGGCTGCTACCAGAAGAACCAGGAAGCCATGTGCAAAAGATGTACTTTGTTATGGCATTATTCTATATAAAATGAAAGTTGAACGTTAATTTGAGTGAATCTGTACTTTCTTAACACGTATGAATACAGCAGAAAACATGATAAAATGGACAAGACGACACAAGATATACTTACCATTTGTATTTCTTCAGGGGACAGCTCATCTTCACCTTTGCTGTCCCCCCACAATCCAGGATTACTCTGGGCATCAGGCAGATTCCTGTCTGTAAAAGAAACACTGAACACTTGAGACAGTGCAGGACACTGAATAGTAAAGTGAAAATAATTTTTCATCCATTTCAGAATGCTGATGAAATTGTTATATGTCAGTTGCCAATAACTGAGATTCATCCTATATTTACAGCAAAAATTATACCAATAACCTTTAACTTCTAAACTGGGACAAAAGTCTACGCCCATGTTTAATTTTGTGAACTACGAGGAGCTGCACTAAAATATTGACAGCGAAGGATGTAAAACAACTTGCAATGCACTAAGACTTGTTGGGGCACAACAGACTGTAGCGTTTGTCTTTTAAAAGAAGAAAACACACAATTTTCAAAGCGACAGTCTGTATGCTATTACCTTCCAATGACACTTGAGAGAACTACCAGCTCCTCATTCCAAAAAGTAAAACCATAATCTCAAAGACATTTTGAGCAAAGTTCACAGGACAAACTCCATTCCCTCATGCTGTTCAAGCTGCACATACAGTGCAAATCCTACAGCTTGCTGTGCAAGGGGTCTTCCTGCATATAACAGGAATCAGATACTTCCCTTTGAGATACTTCCCTTTGATTAAAGCAAATATATCTGCATAAATCTTAGCAGGAGTTGGGCATAAAAGATCTTGAATGGCTATTTCTGGGATGCTCCCTTCTGGAAGATTTATTTTTAGGCTTAATTATACACTTCTGATTATAGACGAAGAAGATAGAATGGGAAAGAAAAGAAACTGCTACAGGAACCTACTGTTTCTGAAGCTGTTCTGGCATCAGTGTTTAAAATCCTAACGATAAGGCTGCGCTCTGGAGAAGGCCTCTCTTCTCCCCACTGGCTGTGACATTTTTACAAAACCCCAAAGAGAGATTTGCACCACCCCACAATGGATCAAAGCTGAACCTGCTTTGGCTTACAGATGCAGGCTGCAAATTAAACTACAGAAAGATTTAGTTTTTATTTTTGCATAGATTTCAGACTTCCTATTTATCCCAGTCAATTTTTTTTCAGGCGTTTATAAGTATTTTCATTTGTTTTGTTATAACCTAAACCTATTTTTTTCCAACTGCATAAGCAGCACTGATGCATCATTATTCAGATACTGACTTGTCTTGGGAAGCCTCTCAAAGGAGTAGTCCTATTTATAAACAAATATATGAAAAGGATTATAAGGAGAAATTTTCCCTTTTATGCTTCACTGTAATGTTTTGTGAAAACTCTTGAAAAATAAATATTACACAAGACTATTGTTGTGTATGTCTCCTTTATAAATGTGTATTTTGCTTCCCAACAACCAAACCAGGATGTAAAAACAACGAGAACATTACAAACAAGGGATGTGGATAAGGAATATTGTAAAATTAAAAAACCAAACCAAACCAAAAATAGATCTGTTCTTTCTTAGAAGAAATAAAAACACGAGTATCCTTAAAGATTGTTTAGAAAGGATTCAACTCTTTTTTTCCATGGGGTATCATCAGTATTTTAAGTCTATTTCACAGAAACACAAAACTTAGTTGTTTAGATAATCAATGTATTTATATTATATCAAAACTGTAATGATTTATTTACTGGATTCAAAGAAAATAAGATAATTAGTTTATGGAGCCACAAAAAAAAGACATATTCCTATTTCATCCCAGAGGAACCAATTATTTCAGGCACTGTCAGCACTGTTAAAAAAACAGCACCTGTATCCAATGTGATTGCTAATAAGCAAATGTGCTTATGGTAAGAGGTAAGCGAGAAACACGTATCTCCCCAGGGTTCCTCCTGTCACTGCGGTACGTTTCTGGCTACCAGGAAAGTTGTTCTGCAGCTTTAACGGAGCTGACATTAATGCTTTCCTGCAATTCTTACAGCAAAAGCCAAACTACATTTCTTTTGCAGAAAGAGAACTAGTTAACGCATGGTGGAGGTACAAAGTAATGATCAAATCCTCAGAAGTCTTTTCCATGCTGAAAGGAGACAGCTGCCGAGCTTGTGGACCAGTTCAAAAGCTACTCATTATTTACATTTATTTCCATAAACTAAATGTCAAATTTGTAATATGCAAATAAATACTGTCGACATGTAAAGGCAATCTCCAGAGAGACTATTTTCCTACCACGAGGCATGTCCAGCATGATCCTAATGTAAACAGGTGCTTTGCCTCAGAACAAAAAAACCCCAGACAAAACCCCAAGGTGTGCTTCAACACACCAAGAAGGACATTCAGCTGTTCATCGTAACATCCAAATTAAAGACAGGACCACAAGCTGCTCTCAGAAGAACTATCTTCACAGCTGAGATATTTAACACAAGGGACCCAGGCACGCTGATGATGGCTGATTCATAAACACAAATGACCACCATTCTTTAAACACCAACATCCTGAGGATGAAACAGTTGATTTCTAAATGCGATAATTTCTCCAGTTTCTTAAAAATTTGAAAAGTTACTTGAAAAAAAAAATAAAATCAAAGGCTGTAAGATTTAAACAGAGCTTCTTGTTTCCTAGTCATCTCGTTCATGCTATTTCCATGCTTCGGCAACCACCTACCAGTGGAGTCACAAGGCTGATTGCTATAAGCAGCAGCAACCAACACTTACCCTTAGGTGAGGAATCGCAGGCTGTGTGCATTTACAAACTGTTTCGGACAGATTTATTTTGATATACAAGTTTCATAGTTTTCTCAAAGACTAGTCAGCACTCGCTCATAAGGACTGCATCAGCATCACTTACGTGACAGGACTTTCTTATTAAAAAAAAAATCAAAGCATAAACTAATAAAAGTGAAAACTGGAATAATCAAAATTCACATGCAACAAAGATTAATTTCTGTTTATCGCAGTGGTTTGCTGTGTCCAAGGCAACCAAAGCACAGCATTTTCCACAGCACGGCATAGATTTTTGGAGCTAAAAATTGTAACGACACTATGTGGTGGGAGTGCACCTTCGGAGACCGCGGAGACGTTCAGGAAAGAGCACAGGGCAATGAAGATGCTACTACACGGCCGCTCCTCTGCTGGCACTAGCTCACAGCTGCGAAGCACTGATAATGTGCTAAGGTGAAACTCATCGACGTGCCTGTGTGCTGCATTGCTGAAGGCATACTACAAAAATGTAGTAAGCACTAGAAACGACACACAATCAAAACCTTTACTTCTTACAATGAATTCGGCGTCAGGGCGGGGGTGGCGGGGGGAAGCATACTGATAGGGCTGCAGAAAGATAAGCAATGCCATATCAGAAAACGAAACCATTCACACACTGCGAGGTAATTCAGTATTAAAGTCTTCATCCACAAATGGAGTACCCACTTCACAGAAATCCACTCTTTGTAGGGCCCTGAAATCACCAGCCAGAGCAACTTTACTCTTAAGAAAAAAATCACCAAAGAAACAGTAACTGATTATCAGAATAATATGGCCATCCAGTGCACTACTACTATCTTGATGAAGCATTATCCTAACATAATGTCACATTTCATACAGTTTCTGTTTCTCTCAAAAAAAACAAAAAAAAAAAAATTCTTGCAGTAAATCACAGGGTACCTTGGACTCCTTTAGACAGCACGAGCAGGAGAACTCAAGCCAGGGAAAGCAAGTCCAGAATCACAGAAACAAGACTTCTTTTAAGTTATGAAACCTGAAATTATCTGCATAGTGGTAGTACTCCAAAAGGCACTCTGTAACAAAGTTCTGACAGCGCACACACCCCTGGACAGACCAAAATGGCTCCCTGAAGGGACTTGCACCCCGGCCTTAGAAACAGGCCACCAAGGAATCAGAAGCAATGTTCACAAGTCCTGTCAAGAGTAGATCAGCTGAAATGGCCCTGGGGTCAGAGATACTGCTTTGGACTTCTGGTTATCTCCTGCCCACTGAAAAGATGACATGCAATCCTTCCAGCAGGGAAACTCTATGCTGTGGAGAAGAACGTCTGGCCAGCCAGTAACCTCCCCTCTATGAGCATATTCTACCTTCAAGTTCCTACTGTGGAAGTGTCCCACTCGAGGTCTCTGTGCTTAAAAACTAGAAAGTGTTCCCAGAAAGTCATTGAGCTTCTTTCTAATTCCTTGCCCTCAGTGAAAGGAATGTGGAAACATCAGACAGATCTCAGAAGATATGTAAGCAGATGGATATTGATGAAAAAATAATAAAATGGAAAGAGTTCACACAGTGGTAATTGAGACGATGAGGAATCCAGTAAGGCATAAGACTTTTTTAGACGGTTGGAAAAAGCATGTCAAAAAGTTTAAGATTTTGCTTCCTCAGTCTCAGAATGTGCTTCACAAGAGCCTGATCAGCTCAGGGAAGATAAAAATAGAAAAGGTGCAAGTCACAGGAACAGGCCCTTGTAATGTGAAGAAAGTACTATTGAACAGACAGGCCCTGCCACAACAAGTGAAATATAACTACATTTTATTCTTACCTTTGCTCTCCTCAGCAGAAACTTTTTCTTCAGAATCATCTAAAGGATTCTGTGAAGATTTTTCAGTGGAAAGAGGCGATTTGGACACGTCGCTCTGCTCAGGTTCAAGTCTGGACCTAGAAGCACCAGAGCCTATAATTTAACTGATACTACACAGCTGAATTTCTCTAAAATGAGGACAACCACAGATTATTAAATTCGACACTAACTCTTGCAAACTTCACATTAAAGATTTTCCAGTCAAGAACACCTTTCACTGAAATGTTACTACAAAAGCAAAGAAAGCATTAATAGTATTCCTGAACAAAACGTATCACTTGTTCAGAGTTGAGAATTTTAAAGGCTATAGCATAAAACCCACAGACTTTTTATTAAACTTCCTTTCAAAAACCCAGTGTATTAAAATACACATATTTTAAAAAAACCCAAACAAACATCATTCTGGTCATACTGAAAATTCTTTTCAGTAGCAATAGCCAACACCACTATTTTTTTCAAGTAATAATTACAATTTTACTTTATATTGTCAATTATCATAAAGGAAAAGTAAGAAAATACAACAGAAAGAGCTTTGTCCTGAAACAAGTTATTTTATTTAACTGTCTTTAAAGAATAGTTTACCCAGGATGAAAGTGATCCTCACCTTGTCTGCCAAAGACACAACAGACCATTTACAAGCAAGGAAAAGAACAAATATATGCAGTGGACAGATATATACTACTTCTAAGTCCCTGCTATGTAATTTAATACAAAGGCAATGCAAAAAATGAGAAGCCAATTCAGTGATAATATATTAAGTATTTGTCAACTATGTTTCACTGGCACCAAAAAAAAAAAAAAATTAAAATTAGTGGCAACATATTTTTTCCAGTAAACTTCTGTGGTTTATTGTTGTCAACAATGAATTCTGTAACTGCTACGCAGTAGACAGTTACATGCTTAACAATTATGCTGTTAGAGAAGCTAAAGAACAAAAAGCCAAAAAGCAAGGGGCTGAATCATCTGCTGTGGCACCTTCATCACCTCCTCCCCTCTCAATATAATCAACAGTTAATCTCATGATCTGCCATCTTCCCCTACTACTTAACAGAAGGTGTTGCATTTTGTGCTACTTTCCATCCTTATATTGTGTCTAAATTCTAATCCATAATTAGAAAACTCCAAGGAAAACACAGAATATAATGCATTAGTCATCACTGAATGATTATGTTTTTTAAACAAGAAAAAACAGTAACAGGGAACCTTTCTTAGTTCTAAAAAGTCCACAAGTACTGGGCTTTCAGTAATTTTACAAAAAAGAACTCTTCTTCTCTCATCTCCTCCCTCTCAAGTCCCAAATTTGTCTAATAATGAGGGAAAAAATACTTACCTGGATGTCCATGCAGTTCAAATAATAGTTCTGATATTAATAAAAGACCAGTTCCCCAGATAATAAAAATATCATCTTGATTTGCATAATTGTATACATAATTCACAAGGTATTTTAATGGGGAAAAAAAAGTTTAAAATTGAAATTAAATATTATTTTGAATACCAATAACAACCAAGTACCTTTACAGAAAGAACTACTTGTGTTTCTATTTCTCAGCTTTTCATTCTGGGGACCTAGTCCTATGCAATTGGCAGAACTTTTTAATCAAAAAATATTAAAGGCAACTTATGTAAGAAAATTATCACTCAGGCAATTTGTTGAAGAGCTTAGGATGTTTATAAAAGGAAAGATGATGAAGTATACTTTACTGCAAACCTTTCAGTATTGTCTGACATGCACATATTTTAAGTTGATTAAATTGCAGGAAAGATCTGCACTGGGATTAATTTACTTTTAAAGAAATGTATGCTAATGTATGAAGTTTTCAATTAAAAATGAACAAAATGCCTGGGATACACTATTTAAAGAATGCCTAGTTCTTTTAGGTGATGAAACATTCTTCTTATCACATAAAGCATCTGCTGAAATCCTGGGGGAAATTACAAATCTACTAGTTGAAGGCATGTGAAAAAAGACAATTTTTCTTCAAGTCATCATAAAAATTGGTTTATGCCCTGTGATTTACTTAAATTGAATTTTAATTTAAATGACAATTTAGCCATCACATCACATCTACAATGCATACAGATTCCACCTGGTCAACACCTGTTTTCTAGTTCTTACATCTGTAAAAAGAGGCTAAGAGGTATCTTCCAGTATCACATAAAAGGCCTGCACCTTCTGGGTTATTTCTTAATGCCTTATTGCTCTTTATTTACGTGGCATTCTAACTTCTGAAATAGCACTTTCATTGCTCCATGTTTAGCATCCATCAAATTGAGTTGTTTTCTCTGTCTAGTTATCCAAGAAACCTTGAACCTGGGATTTCACATAGAAACACTAATATAAAAGTACAACAAACAGCAGAGCGGGTATTTGTTAGTCAATTCTATAACTGCAGGAACCATGCTACCTTTCTCTGAAGTTCTTCAGTGTGAAGAATACTGATAAGGTTATGTATTTTCGCACATGAAAACTATCACACTGTTTCTCTATGTTTTTTGGGAAAGGTTATGGGAGCTAGAAAAATACCAATGCCTTACTTTTCTCTCATTACTTCTTACCAAATTTCAGAACTGGTTTGTGGTATTTTATTTACTTGGTTTTGCCTTGAATTACTATTTATGTCTCTGGAGGATATATTTGAGTGAATCTAATTGTGCTCAATTATGCTGCATCACTCTGAATAAAACGTGCTTACGCACTTTTGAAAGTACCTTAGTTTCAATGTAAACAGCTGACTGAGCCAAACACCAAACTGATAAAGCAGCATCAAGTCTTGGAAAAACACTCAAGAACTTATTTACCGATGTGTATCTTCTAGAATTTGTTATTTTTAAATAAAAATATACATAACAGAACTTAAGGTTAGAATTCAAATAATGCAGATTGAAAAGACATGGAAAGCCTTTCTCGTATTAAATTGCAAACCTGCTCATCCTCCTTGTCATTCTTACACCTGGGAGTGTGCAGAAAAATAAACTGAAAAAGTATGTTTTTCGAAACTTGACTGAAGCAAAAAGAAATCCCAACAAAAACCAGAACAAAAAGCCAGCAAGCACATCATCTTTAACTTCTCCGAGACATTTTCACCTCTATGCTAGCAGCCTGAACGAAGTAGAAACTCTTTTGTTCAGTTAAGAAGTTACTTTCAAGGTTTTTAATCATGTTTCTGCTTGCCACGAAGGCCTGTCATCTCAAGCAGCATTTATTCACAACACAATCTCTTGCTCTAGCAGAAAGATAGTGGCTTAAAAAAAAAATTTTAAAAAAGGGCAAAAAAGAAAGAAGAGAGAAGGGAACATCTCTTGTACCTAAACAGACAGTATGCTAAATAGCATCTTTGAGACACATTACCCATGTGCATGATTTCATTCTAAATTATTTAACACAGAATATTACTTAATGGGACACACAAATATATTTTGTTGCATTTGTAGAAGTCCAATAGGTTTATTAACCCACATTTGGCTCAGAAAGCCAATGGCATCCTGGGCTTCATCAAGAGAAGTGTGGCCAGCAGGTCGAGGGAGGGGATTCTCCCCCTCTACTCTGCTCTGCTGAGACCCCACCTGCAGTGCTGTGTTCAGCTCTGGAGCCTCCATCACAAGAAAGACACGGACCTGCTCAAGCAGGTCCAGAGGAGGGCCATGAAGATGATGAGGGGGCTGGAGCACCTCCCCTGGGAGGACAGGCTGAGAGAGTTGGGGTTGTTCAGCCTGGACAAGAGAAGGTTCCGGGGAGACCTTATAGCGGCCTTCCAGAACTTAAAGGGGGCCACAGGAAAGGTGGGAGGGACTCCTGATCAGGGGATGTAGTGACAGGACAAGGGGTGACAGCTATAAATAGAGAGTAGATTTAGATTAGGTATTAGGAAGCAGTTCTTTCCTGTGAGGGTGGTGAGACACTGGCACAGGTTGCCCAGAGCAGCTGTGGCTGCCCCCTCCCTGGCAGTGTTCAAGGCCAGGTTGGATGGGGCTTGGAGCAACCTGGTCTGGTGGAAAACGTCCCTGCCCATGGCAGGGGGTTGGAACTAGATGGTCTTTAAGGTCCCTTCCAACCCAAACCATTCTAGGATTCCATGATTTTACTGATTTGGTGCTTTAATAATTTACATAAATGAGAAGTACAACACTATTGTCACTCTGCCACTTACAGACTTAAATTCACATGCCAGAAGTGTAAAAGAGCCCTGGATTGCACATCCTGACAGCAGAATTTGCTTATCCAACCACAGATTTCCACTAAAACAATCTCCTTAGAATCTAAACATGAGTAATAGTTTGTTGAATGCCTATAAATGAAAGGCACAGTTAAACTCTTTTTTGACACTACTCACAGTCTCTTCTTATCTATCACTCGCTTAACTCGGATGGCTCTTTGTTCAGAATACAGTTTACACACTCCTGTTCAAGACAGCAGAAAACAAAACCTCAGGTTAGAAAAGCATGACTTCTTTTTTGGAAAATGCAATCATTAATTTTTAACCATTCAATAATTACTAAGTACTTTTTAAGTAATCTTCAATGAAGTCCAAGACAGCTGTTCTGTGCTCCTTTACCTGAGCAGACTGGACACCCTTGTGTGCTGAAATACAGAAGAAAGATATAACACAATCTTTTAAGTTTTTACTGAATTGCACAAAAGTTTGCACTTTCAGGTGACATAAAACTTATATTCAAGAGCCCATTAACATTTTATATATGTTATATATTTAGTACTTATTTTAAACATAGCTAAATTTATATATAGGTTCTGTAAAACAGCAAATCATTACAACAACCCAAAAGGTGAAAACAACTAGCATCTTACAATTTTTATGTTATTGATTTGTTATATATGCCACTAAGTCATATTAAGTCAATTAAATGTCTAAACAAGAATAGATGTCACCAAGCTAAGCACAACAAAACAGATCTAGAGATTTAACTTGCTTAAAATATTGAACTTCTAACATTTTAAATTCTCCAGTGTATAGACTATGTGGAAATCTTTGGGATTTATTGTGCCAAGCATCCTTTTAATTCACATATACTAATATTTCTTATTTTGATACTATGTAGTTCCCATGCATGACTGACTTTCCATGATGCTGAATAATGCTACAACTATGTTTAGATTTCAAAGCTGATGAAAATCTTCGGTATATCAACAAAACACATAAACAGCAAGTCAACTCGAAAATGGCAAAACAGAAGTTCTCTCTACAACTTTTGTAAGACAGTGTTGTAACGGTATGATCCCATACTCAAGCTGTCAAAAATGCTGTTACTTTACCAGGACTCTGTTAACATTATTTAATTATCTCAAAGTTGGAAAGATTATACTGTAATACCCTACAGGTGGAGAAGCCAGAAAGACACAACTGTTGAATTTAGTGAGCTTTGGTTCAGGCCTCTATCCCACAGTGCTAAATTACTATTCAAGTAGTAAATATTTAAGACTACCATTTTTACATTTGCTAATTAGTGTATTTAAACAAATAAATAAAGTTCTATGCTCTGGCTTTTCCTTCCACTAACATTAGAGAAAATTCAGAACTACTCAGTCAATGGGGTTACACAGATGCAAACAAAAAGGCAATGAGACTTCACCAATCTCTTTCCAAAAGCATTTCAGATTCACCATCCAATATTCAGCATTATATTAGCCTTTTCAATAACTAAGGTAAAAACATTTAAGACTTGCTCAGAGTTGCTCAGTTTACCTTCTGTTCTCAGCTGATGAATGGCATCGGCACACGTCCTCATAAATATCTGAGCATCTTGATCTATCTGATCACGCTCTGTATCTGTCATCCTCACATACTCAGACATAATATGGCTGAGAAACAAGACAAACTGTCACTTAAGAAAACCCCAACATAAAATCTACAAGTACACATCTTAAACCTTCTTCCCACTCACCATCCCCACAGAAGTTTTTCTGCAACACTGATTTTCACAGAAAAAGACAGACAAAGTACAATAACTATCACTGATAAAAATGCCCCTTCTATAAAGCTCAGAGGTTTTTTAAAACGTTCGACTAGTAAAAAATGTAGAAAAAGCAATACATCCTATTATCTCATACATAATCAATTACTGAGCCGATAAAGAGACAATATAACTAGAAAATATATCATTACCCTCAGTACTTATTCCAATGAAGCGTATTTCAGTTTTAAAAACAGGAAAACAAGCAGGATAAAGGAATAGCTCAAATGTTGAAAGAAGTACAAAAAACTGGAACCTATTTTACTTAAATGTATGTTTTCATTATCCTAAGTACTGAGCTTCACTTTTAAAGTAGCTGTACTATGAAATCTGTGAATTCAAACCATAGCAAACAATATTGGAAAATAATGCACACTTTTAATATCAAGTCGATCATAAGATTTATTAAAACCTGTTCCTGTTGTTTATTTCTATTTCAAATGATACATTATGTATTTAATATTTTGTAATAGGATTAATATATACCTTTTGGTACTAAATTAATACAAATGGAGGCCTGTCAATAAAATATTAACACAATGTAGCTAACCACCAGAAAAGCACACTATATAAAGGTATTGAGCAGCCATAGATGACAGGATGGTAAAACTTTGCTACAGCAGCTTATCCTATGTTCATCTTGGGTTTCCTGATGATACAGTCATCACAGCCTATTATATTTGTTTTTAAAAAAAGGAAAGAAAATGGTCACTCATACCCTAATTTAGATTTTTATTTATATGTGAAAATTTCTCCCCTTGTTCAAGTATGTATAATGCAACTACATTGATGCAGTAATACAAGTAAAAAGAAGGGATCTCCATGTGCAAAGCTAGCCTGACACCCTCAGCGCTCTCTTACGCACTTCACTGCAATAATGTCAAATCCTCCCTGGGCCTGCTGCAATGCCTGCCTCA